TTCTGGGATTTTTGGGAAATTTTGGGGGGAAAAATTTGGGAATTTTTAGGGGGGAAAATTCGGGAATTTCAGGAGAAAATTCTTGGAATTTTGGGGGATTTTTGGGGGATTTTTTTGGGGGGGATTTTGGGAGAAATTTGGGGGTTTTGGGGGGAAAATTTTGGGGGATTTTTGGGATTTTTTGGGGGAATTTCGGAGAGAAATTTTTGGGAATTTTTGGGAAATTTTGGGAAATTTTTCTGGGATTTTTTTTTTGGACGCTTTTGGGAATTTCGAGGGAAATTTGGGAATTTTTGGGGGAATATTGGGAATATTAGGAGAATTTTTTGGGGAATTTTTGGGATTTTTGGAAGATTTTTTTGGGGGGATTTTGGGGCTTTTTTTTTTCGACTTTTGGGAATTTTGGGGCAAAATTTGGGAATTTTTTGGGGGGGAATTTTTGGGATTTTTGGGACAAATTTGGGGATTTTTTGGGGGAGAAAATTGGGGAAATTTTGGGAGAAATTTTTTGGGAATTTTCAGAGTTTTTTGGGGAATTTTGGAGAGAAAAATTCGGGAATTTTGGGGGGAAATTTGGGGATTTTGGGAGAATTTTTGGGGGGAAATTTTGGGAATTTTGGGAAATTTGGGATAAAATTTTTGGGGATTTTTTGGGGGAGAATTTTCTGGAATTTTGGGGGATTTCTTTTGGAATTTTTTTGAGGAATTTTTGGGGAAATTTGGGAAATTTTGGCAAAATTTTGGGAATTTTGGGGGGAATTCGGGAATTTTGTGGAAAATTTGGGAATTTTGGGGTAAAAAACCGCAATTTCAGGCGGATTTTTGGCGGGAAATCCCAGGATTTTGGGAGGTTTTTGTGGAAATTTGGGAATTTTGGGTTATTTTGGCTAATTTTGGATAATTTGGGTTTTTTTGGGGGCTATTTTGGGTCGTTTTTGGTTGATTTTGGGTCATTTTGGGGCTATTTTATCTCATTTTGGGCTATTTTAGATCATTTTGGGTCAATTTGGGTTGAATTTGGGTCATTTTGGGTTGTTTTATCTCATTTTGGGCAGAATTTGGGTCATTTTGGGTCATTTTGGGGCTATTTTATCTCATTTTGGGTTAAATTTGGGTCATTTTGGGTCATTTTGGGTTGAATTTGGGTCATT